ATTAATTTAAACACTTAATTTCAAATTTTATTTACTAAAGCTACTTGGAATACAAATTGTATTACTTGGTGAATTTGAATCTGGGTCTCCCTGTGCAAAGAAACTTTATGTGTACTAGCATGTATATAAAAATATATTTAACAACATTATTCATATCAGAACATGTTGGAAATAATCCTAAAGTCTATGAGTAGTAGAGTATTTAAGAAAGTTCTATGGTATGTAGCATGAAGTTATATTAAAAAAGGAAAGTGCAAGAGAACATAAATATTCCACCTGTATACAAATAAACCTAAGCAAATCTAATTATTTTTATATCACTGCATCTGAGAAAAGTGATGGAATGTAGATTTTCACAATATTTAAATATCTGCCTAAACATGGTCTCTTGTTTACTTTACACTCCATGTGTAAAGCTTATTTTCTGTCTTCTAGCAGGTCTCCATTAATGGGTTTCCATGAGTGAATAGATGAAATAATACCTTTTAGAGCATACATTTTCAGCTTCAACTATTTTTATTTTCAACTTTTGGACCTTTTCTTTTGCATTGCTTCTCACAAAAACAAAAAAAGCAAAAACAATGCAAGTATACACAAACATATTAACTGAAGTATAGTGCTTTCAGGGAAGAAATCAAATGGCATAATTCCTTAAATAAGCTACCTCACAGTCCAACAAAATGAATACTAGGAAACCAACACTTGAATAATATAAGGGAAAGTCAAAAGGAGGGAATTAGATGGATGAAGAGAAGAAGAGAATAGAGTGCATTTATAATATTCAATGCATATCCTTGAAACTAAGAAAATTGAGGGGGAAGAGTAGGGAGAGATGGGGTAGAATTATGAAAGGGATGACAATGATCAAAGTACATTGTACTTATAAACTGATCTGCTGAATGGTAACTCCTTTGTACAACTACTTAAAGATAATAAATACAATTTTGAGGAAACAAAACAAAAACTATACCTGACAGTTTCTGCTTTGGTTCTAAATGTCAAGCTTGGAACCGATAATTTAAAGTGCATACTCTTCTCAAACCAATTTCTTCAGAGTTAACTTGTTTCTATTGTCTAAAGACAAAGAGCAATTTAGCACAAAAGTCTTTTAAAACAGAACTGTTATTGGCTTTGAAATGTGAAAATAGCATCCGTAAATTAAAAGCAAGATAGACAAGATTATTAACAGTGTTACTCTAGTCAGGTACTGGTTACATTTGCTCTTTCCTATAATATTGAATAATTATAACTATTCAATAATCATTCTTCATGCAAAGCTTTAATCCTGGAAAAGTCACTAAAATGCTATATTCATTTCTTTGCCAATCTGTAGACATCATGACTCATATTAAGAACTTCCCTCATATATAATACTCATGCAAGAATCAGGAGCTGAAATAATGTTTGTAAGCAACAGAATAAATAAAAACAAAAAGTACTGTTAATGGAAAAAAGCAGAAAGTTTGTTTGTAAATTTTATACTTCAGTGAGGCAATCTACATATCTGACGCTCATTCAAGTGAACTACTATGTCAGCTGGAATTTAGCACTTGTTATCCTTTTAATTATCTAGGCATACTTTCAAAAACATTTATTGAGCATACACTATGTATAAGAATCTGTGTGAGTCACTATAGTATGTAAGAAGAAGAAACAGTCGGACACCAGTGGCTCACGCCTGTAATCCTAGCTACTCAGGAGGCTGAGATCTGAGGATCGTGGTTCAAAGCCAGCCTGGGCAAGAAAGTCCATGAGACTCTTATCTCCAATAAACCACTAGAAAACTGGAAGTGGTGCTGTGGCTCAAGTGGTAGAGTGCTCTCCTTGAGCTGAAGAGCGCAGGGTCAGTGCCCAAACCCAGAGTTCAAGCCCCACAACCAACCAAAAAAAAAAAGAAGAAGAAGAAGAAGAAGAAACATGTAAACACCAAAAACATGTAAACACATAAACATGTAAATGCCAAAACACCAAAAACAAACCCAAGCCTTCAAAGGCCTCCTCATCTAAAAAAAAAGTAAGAAATAGAACACTTTCAATATGTCTATATCTGTGGCTACAAATCTTAGTAATTGCTAGCAGTTATTAAGCTTTATTATAGGACAAATGGTTTTATATTTTTGCAAGTATTACATTGAATCAAATCTAGGTCTGTTGATTATCAGATACACCATTAATATAGTAATGTTATTTTTTAAAGCAAACTCCTCAAAAATAATAACTTACTCTTGGTTGCCAGATACATTCCAAATACCAAAGATGCTGAAGTAGGAAAGATACAGATTAATTAGTGATAAAATATAGCAACTCTTTTCATCTCTCAGTAACATTTCAAATTAGGGCATTGAGCATCTGCATTTTACAGGCAGGAAATCTGAACATTCCCATAATTTTAGGTTATTAGGTAAATTTCATAGAAGAGCCAAGCAAATTTGAGCACGTCAGTCTGCTTCCAGATGTCTTTGCTCTTACTTACTAGAAAGAGGTCTGAGATTTTCTTTACTGTGTCATATTCAGGGGTTTCCACAGCTTTTTTCCTTGATGTGACTTCATTTAAAATTGATGAAGAATACTGGGATTTGTATTAATTATTTAGAGCAATATAGAGCTGGAATATGAGACAAATTTCAAAGAAAAGCTTTAGCCTAAAATGTGTGCAGTAATCCAACTAAAGAGTGATAAGTAAATCCTACTAATATCAGTGATTCAATAATTCATTTTTAGAATCTATCAATCCATAACTAATTATATTGCATTTAGATATAAATGGAATAATTTTAACAGAATTATATACTATTTTTATGCACATTGGTTGTGTATATGCTTTTTAAATTTTAATTTTATTGTCAAGGTGATAGAGCGGTTACAGTTACATAAGTAAGGTAGTGAGTACATTTCTTGTCAAACTTGTTACTCCTTCCCCATTTTTCTCCCTCCTTCCTTCCCCCAATCCCCCCCAAGTTTTACAGATCACTTCCAAGATAGTGTCTTGTGAGTATCATTGTTGCATTGGTTCCCCCTTTTTCCTTAGCAGTTACTGGAGCCCAGAGTTCAAGTTCCTCTATCAACTTGAAAAAAAAATGTAGATTCAGAAGCTCCAATCAAACAGGAATCTGCATTTTTAGCAAGCACACTAATAGTCCAGATATGTTGATGTATGTGTTTCCAGTAGAATTTTCAGAAAAATATTAAATTCAATTTTTAATGCTGTTCAACGTGTCTTGACTACTACTAGATATGAACAGCTTGGATAGAATTTTTGATTCATTACTGGAAGAATTATCTAAGGAGATTTTTTTCAGTTGATGTTTCTAATTTTATTTGCAAAATTTGAAAAGATAAAGTATGGTATCAGTATGTAACTGCCTCTTGGTATATTTAACTACCACATTTTTATGTAAGCCATGTTTACAAGAAAAAGTAGTAGCCAATGGTTGTTAGTTCTTAACCCATTATCTTTTTAGGAAAGTTGTGCTACAAGTGTGTACATAAGATATGAAATGAAGTTTTATATTTTGGGCTAAGCATTTTTGGCTTTTTAAAAGATTATTTGCAGTACTTGTTGCAATGTTGAACTTTTTTAACATGATGTACAGAATGAATTTCTTTTTATCAAAACTGAAAAAGAGAACATTGATAGACACTCTGATAGAGTGAATCTACATTTTAAACCAGAACTTCTGTCTTCCACTGACTATGAGTATGCTGGATTCAAGAATCATTGTTTTGCTGGGCACCCATGGCTCACACCTGTAATCCTAGCTGAGATCTGAGGATCACTGTTCAAAGCCAACCTGGGCAGGAAAGTCCATGAGACTCTTATCTCCAATTAACCGTCAGAAAACCAGAAGTGGTGCTGTCCCTCAAATGGTAGAGTACTAGCCTTAAATTGAAGAGCTGATTGTTTAAACAGGGATACAGGTAGACCCATTGTAACAATGAGATGTACAAGATTTTATATCGAAAAACAAACTTTACAACTTTGTTGGGGGGGTCTGGGGGAGATGGAGGGGCAGGGATGGTAAGGAGCCACAAAGGAGGAGGCAACAATGCTTGATAAGAAATGTACTCATTACCTTGCTCATGTAATTGTAACCCCTCTGTATAGTATTTTCACAATAAAAAACTTATTAATAATAAAAAAACTGAAGAGCTGAGGGACAGCACCCAAGCCCAGAGTTAAAGCCCCATGACAAAAACAAACAAACAAACAAAAAATAAAACATGGTTTCGACTCTTTGTCGTTTTCCCATTCCATACTTAGGAATGATGGAAAATACAAAGCAAACAGCAGTGGGGGGTTGTTTGTTTTTTGTTTTTGTTTGTTTGTTTTACCAACTATCAGAAGTTAAATGTTTCATTTGCTAGTTATTTATGAAACAGGGCCAGAGGATATTAAAGGAATGTAAGCTTGTATATTCTGATGTATTGTTATTCTGTATGACACATAAATAACTGTTCAACATGACAGAATAGATACTTCCACTTTAGGAAAAGCTTTGTGAAATCTAACATGATTGCTGTAAAATAGAAGTGAGGTAACCCTGGTAGCTGTAGGAATAGAAAGTGACAACTCCAGAAGCTATTTCAAAGAAAACAAAATCAGTAAGATTCAAATTGAATGGAAAATAGCAAAAAAGAAGTGGAAAAGTAAAATACTTCAAGTTTGGCATCTGGGTAGACAAAAATAGAGAGTTACTGACATGGTGAGGGAATATGAAACTGTTCTGAAAATGTTAAGAAGAAGGTGGGCGTGGAAGAAAAGTGAGGAAGGCTTATATAGCTGGATCTTTTTTATTGCTTTACATTTTTAATACATTTTTATTGTAAAAATACTGTACAGAGGGGTTACAGTTACATGAGCAAGGTAATGAGTACATTTCCTATCAAGTATTGTTACCTCCTCCTTTGTTTTTCCCCTACCATCCCTTCTTTGTTCCTTAGTTTATGTCTGAATGGACTAACCAAACTGTGACTTAATGGATGTTTATTTTCTATTACAGCAATTGTTCAACTGTCAAGCTCTACGAAAACTAAGTATTCCTGATAATGACCTTTCGAACCTGCCAACCTCTATTGCTAGTTTAGTTAATCTTAAAGAACTGGACATCAGTAAAAATGGTAAGATTCTTTACTATTCTCCAAATACCTTGATACTTTTTAAAATTTTTTTACTGAAAATGTGTTTTAATGTTTTCCCTAGAGATAATATAAAATAATTTCATCAGCTTTTTGTGTAACTAAAAGTTAATTTTGTTACAGAGTTAAATCCTAAATCATAACCCAAAGACAGAAAACATCTTTCTCCTCCCCTTACAATGTGCGTAACTCATGGAGGTCTACTTCTCTTTGCATTCCGATATGTGACCTACCATTTACACTGAGGATATAAAATGTTACTTAGCTGAATTCTGTGTTTGGCATGAACGTGGACAAATAGAACTCTAGTTATTTCAATTGATATGCTTGATAGCAAGGGAGAAACACGAACAAAAACAGGTCCCTTCCCTCACCAGGCTTACATTCTAGCCAGTGATTTATATATTAAAGCATATTACATGTTTAAGTTATTCTTATATTACCTAGACTCCCTTAATAGAATTATAAGCCAGTGATATCCTCGATTTTTGTTGCTATTGCTGCATTAATCACCACTTATTTCCCTGGCCGAAAAGAATGTCTGGCACACTGTAGGATCATAATAAATATTTGCTCTGTGAATTAATGAGTGAATGGTTCAGAGTTATCACAAAGTTCACAGTGTCACTGGAGAAGACTGACATCCAAAAATCATCACTGATATCGCAAAATACAATCAACTAAGTGCTTAATTATATGGTATAACTTACAATTATAAATTTGTAGAGAATACGAAGATTAACTAAAATGGCTATATTATTAGAAAACAGTTCAAGTATAGGATATAAACTAAAGACTTTCTTGAAAATCAGTGGCATCTAAATAAAGGAGAGCATTTTATTTGAAGGAGATAATAGAAATGTAAATGAGGGACACAAGGGTCTTTCTGCACCAGCTTGATTTATTACTTAGTTTTTTGAAAGACAATCAAGGAAGGACCATATGCACACTCACAAGGAGAATAGCGATTTGGCTTACACTCATTCAAAGATAATCTCTGGCCTGCCATTAATCTTTAATAAGAAATTTACAGGTTATATACTTTGTGGATTCATAATTTTGTACTTTTACAATTATTACCTACTAATATATGTTTCTATAAATCAAATTCTATTTTCAAATCTTAGTTTCTGAGAAATGTCACAAGGCTCAGTAACACATCCCATTCCTGTCCATTTGTTTTAGCTTGTTAGTCCAAGTAAACAAAACTTCATTTTATTTGTAAAAAGGAGCAAACAATATATGGTCAAATATGAATATGAAGCTCTTAATAAACATAAAAATTTTGAAAGCATCTTATAATTCCTGGTGTCATTTTACATCAAGAAATTTTTGGTTCCAGTAAGTGAATCACAAATTATATTTCTTCTCTTCAGAAGTAAGTCTCTGAGCAACTTTATGAATATTTGAAATTATAATTTTGTAACTATTAGCTTTGCATATATTTCCTTACATTCAGAAAATATTTATTCAAAAAGCTATACAAGACATGTGTTTTGATAAAGTGGAAACTTTCAATCATTCTGGGTCTATTTCTACATTTTGTGGAGGCTGAAGAATTTCTCTGTAATAAAAGCAGATAATAGACTGAGGGCCTCAAAAAAAAAGTTATACAAGACATGGTAATGTTAGTACAATGTTAAATGTGCAGTATGAGGATATATCAACCACCACTTGATATTTCACATATATAAAAATACTTCATCTGATAAACTTCTCAGAAATCAAAGCATAATAAAAACCTGTCACTGGTTTCTGTGACAGAAGCCTGGATAGTCAATTTAAGAGTTTAATACATCCTTTGGGAATCTGTCAAGGGAAGAAAGAACACATTGCAGCATCAAGATTGCGGTTGACCAAGGTGGAGTAGCCCTGGTGGGAAAAAGTCCAGATCAATGAGGCACATGGTATTCACAGAATTGGTGTTTAATGATGTACAGCGAAGGCTTATTGTGACATAGGGACCTATGTAATACTACTCAATTTTAGTAAGAACTTGGCTAAAATATGCTTGGATTTAGCTTAGTGGCCCCTAACATCATGAATTCTATGAAGTCTGAGGTTTTCTACAATCTTCTGTATACTGTTCATTGGCGTGTCATCCGGATTCACGACCTTTTCATCTCCATAATTCACAAACACTATTTTATATTAAACCCTTGTAAATGATCTATTAGGTACAGAAAGATAATGGCACAATTTGAGACAATAGCTTCCATCCACCTCTTAGCCATATCTCCAACTAGCAATCTTCTGTTCCATTTCATCTTCAAGGACTACCAAAGGGTCATTTCTACAGGCATCAGGCTGCCTTCTAGTGATTTTATCTGCCCAGAGTACTCCTCTCAATGCTCTACTCCATTCTCTCCACAAAGAATCCTCTTCACCTTTAAAAACATACATTCCAAAAGTCAGATGCAATGAACTTTTTCTGACAGCTACACAAAGAAAAGTGTTCCTTCTGCTGTGATTCTGTTTTTACTTTATATATGGTTTTATTTTGAACTCATTTTTTGCAGTGCTAGAAATATAACCTGAGATCTTGTTCATGCTAGACAGATACTGCTTTTTAATTTAAGTTCTGTATATGGAACTACACTTCAAGACTCTTGAAATCCAGGACTGTCTTGGTCATTCAGAGCTACAAGTATAATACCTCAGAGACATGGAGGGCAGATTTCTGATAACTATTTGTTAGTTAAACAGCATTTTGAAAAATACTTTCCTTTAAAATATGACAATTTTATATTATGTCATATCCCACATATAATAAAAAGTCCATCTAGTAAAGTAGAAACCTTCTAAATGTTTTAGCTGGATTATGGAAAAGATAGAAATAGGACTGTAATAACGAAGGAGTAACTACTCAAATCAGTTCTAATCCTACTTACTATTTGATTTTATTTCTCAGTTTAATATTACTGTGATTCACAAAGGTACTCTATGCAAAAACTCATTCTGTCCTCCAATTCCTTTATCCATTCAGTCAACACCTACCAAATATACCCACTAAATATAGGGCAAATATGCTTTCCTGATGTATTTGCTATTGTTGGGGTCTTAGTTTAGTTCCATTTCTTTTCTATGTTCTCAAATACACTCCTAATTGGTTTCCTCATCTGCATTATTTCCACTATCATTACCAAACCCTTCCTCCACAAGATAGCTTTAGCAGTATTTCTAGATTTCTGACATTTTAAAATTCATCTCCAACCTAAGGTACTTCAGCTGACCTAGGATAAAGGATAGATTTATGAATTCCTAACATAACAACAGAAAAACTCCACAAATGACCACTCACAATGATGCCATTCTAAATGCATTCCCCTCAAGAATGATCTAACTTTTAACTAGATTCTAAAAACATTCCTCAAATATTTAAAATTGTTCTGCTATCTCTTTTACTCTGCTTATATTATTTTTTTTAACCTAAACTACCTTCACCTTCTTTTTATCTGGCTAATCCTTATTCCATTCAATATTCAATACAAGGCTTATTGTTTATTGGTGTCTTCTGAAGTCCTAGACTAAGTCAAGGATTCAACTTCTATGCTATATAATTTGTGCATTAAAAATTATTGTTTTATCTAAAGCACTTCATATTAATCTATATTAAAACATTCATTTGGTTTTAATTTTTAAATCTTAAATCGCCTTAAAGAAAATAGATTCCAGTGTACCTATCATGGAAATTAAAATGTGAACATTTAATTATGTTAAAAATAACATCCTCTTTTTTAAAATAAGCAATACATTCCAGAAACATTGGACATCAGTTCACATCCCTTCCCACTTTTCCCTGTCAGAAATAAGGTGTTCAAAATTTCAGTGAAGTGCTAACACAGTTTGTTGATTATACCAAGAGCTATGGATTAGATATTATCTTTTTGAAATTTCTTCTTTAATTGACATGGACTTAGTTGCCCCAGGAGAAATATCAATGTTCCCATTGCTTTATATCTTGCCCTTACTTTAGTTATTACAGGTATAGGTGACAGATCATCAGATGAATATATAGGGATAAATTAGTACCTAATATTTTCTTAACCATTAGAAATTTCTACTTTAACATCACCAGATATTTACTGTATATTTCCTTCTAAAACTATCAGTTTGGGGTTTTTTCCACATGTAAGTCTTTACCTCATTTGCAAGTTATTTTGGGGCTACATATAATGAAAGTTTATCGTTTTCTGTATGGATGTATTATTAATTATTTTATCAATATCTAAGTAGTCCTTTTTTCAAAAATGCTACCTCATTTATAGAAAAAGTCTTTGCCAAAGTATGCAACCTGCTTCCTTTGCTTATTTGACTATTCTTCTGTTGTTGCCATACTGTTCTAATCATGATAACTTAAGATTGCTTCTTAAATCTGAAAATGCAACTCTTCTCTTTTGCTTTTCTCATGTTCAGATGTGCTTTTCTACTACTTGCTCCTCAGGTCTTCCAAGGTATTCATTTTGACTTCACTGAGAGCATTCCATCCAGGGGAATTTTCTTAATTAGCTTAACTTTAAAGATTGGTGTAGGAAAAACTTCTGTTTTGTGATGGCAAATATTGCTATTTTTCTTTTTTAGGTCAAATTTTATGCTTTTCAATAGTGTTTTGTGATTTTCTTCAAGGAGGATTACACATGTTATTAGTATGTTTTAAGCATTTATATCACTAGAGGCATAAACTTTACCGTTTTGTCCTTGATGCTATATAGGAATATTGCTACTTTTTATGCCCTTTGTCTTACTATAATGATTCTAATATAATTTATATTGTACAACTAATAGATTTATTTGGATTTTTATGTGAATTTAAAAATTCACATACTTTTTTCTTTTGATCTCATTATCATATATCTTAATGACTTCTTTCTCAAAAATTATAACCAAACTAAGAAATCATCCATTCCATCACCTAGGTTTCTTATTATATTTTCACGTATTGCTGATAATTTTTAATCCACCTCTACCATATCTGGAACTGT